GGGCTTGAAAAATATCGATAGGGCCAGCCCGTGAGCCAATTAAAAAATATAATATGATATTAAAATTTAAAAATAAAGAGAGTTCAAAATCAAAACAATTAGTATAATATTTCTATTTAGATATTTATATTTTTAGTTGAAAAAAAATTAATAAATATCAAGGAAAATGCACAAGTACCCCTTAGACTATGACCAAAATCTCAGAAACACACCTTAACTAAACTAAGGTCCTATAACCCCTGAACTTTTTTTTTTTGTAATTTTATACACCTTTTGTCTTATGTGGCACTCTATGTGACTCCACGCAATTGAGGCGCATCAGAGATATTTGGATGCCACGTAAGCCAAAGAGGTACACAAAATTTCAAAAAAAATAAATTAATAAGTTCAGTGGGGTAATACGACCTTAGTAAGGTGTGTCTTTTGAATTTCGGTCATAGTCTTGGAGGTACTTGTGTATTTTCCCAAAATATTATAAAGATAATTTTATTTGTGAATTTGATTAACAAGTAATGACATTAAGGTCTCATTTGTTTCCATTAAAATTAAGACGTCTGAATTTGAATACGCATTTAAATATTAAGATGTGCATTAAGATCTAGATGTGTAAATGTGAATAAACATATGACTATTAAAATATTGTCTCTGAATCTGAACACTAAATTACTGGGACAGTTTGTTTTCAATATATGAATGCACATATGAAATTTAACGTTATATCGATAAAATATTATCAAAATCTTGTTAGTAAAATAGTATTTTTCATATTAAATTATATTTTGAACATTTTTTACCGTAACAAGGTAATATGATTTATCTTTTAAGAACTCAACATCAAGTTACATCATTAATATGACTATTTTTTGCACTCAAAATACTTTGAGAATCTAATATAATGCAATTTGAAATAGTTTATATAGAGTAATAAATATATAGTTTAGAAAAATATTTTATTTTATTTTATTATAAAAATTTATTATTGTTATCGATCAAATAACTAATATTTTCTTATTTTTTTGAAATCGTGCTAAATATTATATCATAACGTAATATTGTTTTGTCGATATTTATGATAATATTTTTAAATTATAATTTATAATTTAATTTAATAATTGTAAAAAAATATTTTTTTTAAAAAAGTGGACTGGCCCGGCAAGACTGTAGCCCACGTACTTGTGGGCAAGACCGATCATTTTCTGGCCCACACAAAAAATGGGCTAGCCCGGCCTGATCCGTAAAATGTCAAAGCCTATATGGATTAGCCCTAATGGGTGGGCTAGACCATATTGACAGCTCTAATAAATACAGGTTCAACTTTAACTAAATTTTTAAAAAAATATTTGTTGATTATATAAAAAAAAATATAGAAACGTAGTTTTCAATATTTATATTTTAAAATGTTTTAGATATTTTTTTAGAAATTATATGTATAAATCATATTTAAGAAAAGTACAAAGAAACCTTTTTTTTTGCGTATGGCTAAACAGAAGTAATAATTAATTATATAATTTTAACTGCTTTATTATTTATTAGTTAAGTAATTTAGTAAACATAATCTTAATCTTTACAACTCTAAAAATTGTTCGAGAAATAACTAATTGTGGTAAGTTAATGCTGATTCTCAACACATAGAAATTGCAATTGTGTCACACTCACTGTTACAAGGCTAATTTGGGGAGTCATTTTTGAATAGTAGTGAACAAAATATGGTTAACAGAATAACTTATCATCGTAATTAAATAGGAAAAAATTTGAAAATAAATAAATATATATATATATATAAATTTTGATCGAAATCGATGTAACAATTTTAAATTTTGGGCTAGGTTTATTGTCTCATGCACTATTTAATAGTATATTTTAAAAATATATAAGTGTCTACGTGAACATTATAAATATTGCATCATTATAAATAATAACGTGTCGATCTCGACAGTTATATATCTTTAAAAAACACTATCAAATAGTGCAATCGATAATAAGTCCTACCCTAAATTTGTTACAGTAATTTCGATCAAAATTCAGATATATTTCAAACTTTTTGCCTTAGCTAAAATAGATATAATTCTCAGGATACTCCTCCTATAGTCCTATACTTATGGAACTGTTGCTGATTAGGAAACCAATAATATTTTCTTCATAGTTTCATTTATGATTTGAGAAATACAAATACAAAGTCACAAATACAAATTTATTTTTAGAAAACACACTCTAAAGTACATGAAAAAGAATATCTCTAAACAATTGAGTTACGAATGACAATTATAAATGTATTTCTAATATTACTTCTTCACTCGGCTAAATTAGTTTTTAGGTCTCTATTAAGTTTACAGAATGAATTTTGAGACCACCTTTCCACTTTTTGTTTCAAACTTCATACAATCCAAAACAAATCTTATCAGTATTGCTCCCTTTTCCTTTTATGATAGTAATAGTTTCTGATATCATCTTTTTGTCATTAGTCTTAGTTGCCAAATTCACCTTTCTCCATTGAGTATTATCTCCCCATTTAGCCATAAGATAAACTGGTGAATCACTCCAACCGAACGCATCAGCCATCAATGACACTGTAAATTCAATGTTGTATGATGTTTTCTTCGTTATATTTATATTATCGATGCAACCAGTTACCTCCAACCAATTTACTTGTATAAGTTCTGCATCATCCATTCTGTATAATTCAAATATATTTGATAAAAACGTTAACATGTTAAATACAACAGGAGATCAGTATAATTAAATTGATCTCAAGATGAATTTATATATGTACTCCTATATTGTCTTTTCATTATGCAAAATGTTGTCCTTTTATAAAAATTAATGTTCAACTTCTTTATGAAATCAAAATATAGTTGGCAAAAATAAAATTAAAAAAAAATTGTATTCTTACTCATCTTTGGGTAGCTTCCAATAACGCTTATCATTTCCCCAAACGATATTAAGTGATTTAGGATGAATTATATAACCCTACAAGCAACAAAAATAACAGAATTAAATAAATCAACATAACAAAAACTCGATGGATTAAGAATATGTAACGAGAGAAAGAAGAATTGCAATATAGGAAGTATATGAAGTGTTCTGTACCTTTTTTGTTATAGTGAATGATTGATTGCCTTGATAGTGAAAAGATTTTGAAGCCATTTAATTTTCTATATAAGTTGAATTGTAAAGAATTTGGAGATTTCAGTGTCTTATAATAATTTTGGTTACAAAAATCATATATATATAGAGAGAGATAGAAATGGAATCAATAGTCACACGTAGTAATAGTAAGAGACATTTATATTAGCATAGCATATGGAATAAATTATCATGTCTTATATTCTTATAAGTCGGCATGCATTTTCCTAAGTGCGTATAAATCAAGAGTTCGATAAAATTCAATAATTTTTATTTAGTCGGTATATTTGTTTTTAAAGTAATCACTAAATATATATTAAATTTAGAACTCAATATAATAAAATATTGCCATTTTAAAATTCGTAAAATTAAAATTTTATCTCTATCAACATAAATCAGATTAATTTATTCAATCACGAAAGATGACCGAACCCACCAATAAAAAGTTCAGAATATACTCCTCACTATAATGAGTTGTCAAATTTGAATAATATAACATACCTACAATAAATTTGACAAAGTATATTATTCTCACGCGGTGAATATTATTAGTTCGCATATTTCACATTTAAGATGATTTCTTCGTTGCCTTTTTTTAAAAAAAAATGAATTATCACTTGATTCTAGTATATATAATGATTTTTTTAATATATTCTTAGTTCCTTCTTTTATCTTTATTCATTTTTTTTCTTTTAAAATCTGTAAATGGTATATGTACACAAATTGATTCATCAAATTTTCGATTGCTATAATACTTGCTTCAAAATCATTCAATTGTTTTCTTGGCTTTATTAATTTCTAAAAATTTGAAGAAAATTTATTGTTCTCCATCGTGTTCATTGGATTTGTGCGAATCTGTGAGTGTAATTAAGTTTGGTGTATGGAATCTAAACAATTGATATCTAATTTGGTGCGAAGATTTGAGCCAAAAACTAAAAAACTCCATTGACATACAAAGCATCTCAAAATCAAAAAAGAAATGTGAATTTTTGGGTTTGAATCTAAAGCTAAAAATCTTCATTTGCAATTACTAATCTGTAGAGACTAAATTGAATCCTTTATGAGAATTCAATTGTTGAGTTCTTGAATTTGAAAACATTTGAATCAATTGATTTGAACTAAAAAAATTGATGAATGAAGGGTGAAATACAAATTTATGGATAACCATCGTTAAAGAGCTTTGAAGTTCAAGTATAAATTTTTAAATTTGTCGACGAATTCATTTTTCCGGGTGATTATTTCCTTGTCATTGTCGGCTCCTTCAATGAGTTTCTCTGATAAATATAAAATTTACCATCCACCAAAGATGCAGTTGAGACTGGGACAATAATATCCTCCATTAAAACAGTATCATTTTGCTTATAAAAATAAATAATATAATATATAATATACTATTTCATTGTAAAAATATATAATAAAAATATTGTTTTTACTGCTCTTTTGCTTCTCAATTTTACTTCTCAATCTCTTTGAGAGAGCGAATGTACTTTCTATGCCAACTCAACATTTAAGACGTTATTTATTTTATTTTTAAATTATCCAATAGGGTGATAAAATATCCATAAATTTAGAATGTGTAATTGAAATTTCAAATATAGATTACGGGATTTTAGACCTATATTTCATTATTGGTTATGCATTTTACTATTGTGTTTCAACTTTTTTAATAAATAATTAATTTTCTATCATGGATTTTGATTAATAATTATACAATGAATTCTTGTACATTTTTATATATAGAGCCGTTTAATATTTTTACTTGTTCAACTATGTTCTTATTATAGTTAATTTGCAAGTTCATAGATTTAAAAGAGGCTTTAAAGATAACATAAGTTTTTGTTGTGCGGAATTTGATATAATACGAGAAAATATAAACGCGAAAAACAAGACAACAGATTTACGTGGTTCACCAATAAATTGGCTACGTCCACGGGAAGAGGGGGAGCAGTTTTATTATGGAGAGACCCCCGTCTTTTCTGTTTGTAGCGGGTCTGATTCAAAGCATTCAACAGTTTTGAT